TTTTTCAAAATAACAAATATAAGGGGGGGGGGGGGGGGGGGCGATTGACTATCATTTAGCATGTATTCTTATCTGATACTCTTAGATATTTGTTAAGTAATGAAGTCTTCAAAAAAGCTATGAAAATCCAATATAGCTACATATGAAACATATAAGCATGTATAATGTAGAAACATAGGAGCATTGTCCCTTGATGAACCAAAAATGAAAATTGTTTTCTTTATAGATGATTTCAAGAAATGAATAAGATTCATACTATTCTTATTATGCTAACATTGATCCATAATTTTTATTTTGTTTTAGCAATGTCCAATAATTATGTCCTTAATTTGAATTTGCATAATTGCAATTATATGTTTTTATGATTTTTTTAATGCATTTTATATGTATCTTATTCATATCTAATATATTTTTATAGTAATTGAATTTCTGTAAGTGCATCATAGTTTAAAATAAAGCCTTAAATCTTAATACGCATTTCTTATATGATGGGTTTCATTCTTGAAATGATTGAGGTTTTAAATTGTATTTACTTCTCCCACTCTCTTTCCCATGAGATCGTATCTTTGATATATGTTAAAAGTTCTATGACATTGTAACTCATCCTGCTGTACTCCCTCCCTCCCTCCCCCTCTCTCTCTCTCTCTCTTTGTTGGTCATGCAGGTCCTTGAGTTACAATTCCCAGGAGTCTTCGTTCGGCAGCATGTGGAACTGTAACTGTAAGCTCAAGCACGGATGATTCATTTCCCCTTCTATTTGTTTCTCATCAATTATTATCCACTGGCTTCCTCCTATGGCAATAAAGCTCCCATCTTCGGCACACCCTACTCGATTCCTCAGATGGGTTTATCTCTCTTCAAGCTGTATTGCTCATATTTCAGAAATCCCTGCAATTCTTAAGCCCAAGGATTCATCTGAATTCGACCAAAATCTGAACTTTTTGAGAAATAAGCTTGCTCCAGATAACTTAATCCGGGTTTTGGACCGTACTAGCGATTTGAACTCAGCACTGAGGATATTCAAATGGGCTTCTCGTCAGAAGAGTTTTCACCACACCTCTCAGACATATTTTAGGATAATTTTGAAACTGGGTATGGCTGGGAACGTTCTAGAAATGAGGGATTTTTGTGAAAATATGGTGAAGGATAGGTGTTCAGGGGCAGAAGAAGCTCTTGTAGCACTGGTTCATGAATTTGTGGGGCATTGTAGGATTAAAGAAGCTATTACAGTCTTAGGAAAAATGACTTTGGATGGTTATAGGCCACCAATTGAAGTTTTTAATGTTTTATTGGGTGCTCTTGTCAAAGGAGAGAATAGAGATTTTGAAAATGCCTTGTTTGTTTATAAAGAGATGGTGAAGGCATGTGTCTTGCCCACAGTCGACACTTTGAATTATTTGTTGGAGGTATTATTTGCCACCAATCGGATTGACTTGGCTTTAGATCAATTTAGAAGAATGAACAATAAAGGGTGCAATCCAAATAGTAAGACCTTTGAGATTCTTGTAAAGGGTCTCATTGAAAATGGTAAAGTGGATGAAGCTGCCACTGTTTTAGAGGAAATGCTCAAACTCAAATGTCAACCAGGTTTTAGTTTTTATACCTGCACCATACCTCTCTTTTGCAGAGAAAATAAAGTAGAGGAGGCAGTTAAGTTGTTTAAAATGATGAAAGATTCTGATTTTGTGCCGGACTCTTTCATTTACGAGGTTATAGTACAATGCTTTTGCAAAAACTTGCAGTTGGACTCTGCTGTAGACCTCATAAATGAGATGATAGAAAGCGGTCTGCCACCAAAACATAATGTTCTTGTTGATATGATAAATTGCTTTTGTGAATTAGGGAAAATTGATGAGGCTGTGATGTTTTTAGAAGATACACAAGTTCATGAAACTGCTCCTTTCAATACGTTGCTTGAAGGTTGCTGCAGTGCTGGTAAAATTCTGGTAGCAAATGTTCTGCTGGAGACAATGTCTGAGAGAAACATAGCTGATTGTCAATCTTGGAATATTCTCATTAGATGGCTTTGTGAGAATGAGGACACCAAGAAAGCATATATCCTTCTTGGCAGAATGGTCAAATCCTTTGTTATTCTTGATCATGCGACATATTCTGCTCTTGTTTTTGGCAACTGTAGATTGGGCAAATATGAAGAAGCAATGAAACTATTTCGTCAAATATCTGCCAGATGCTGGGTTTTAGATTTTGCCTCTTATTCTGAACTAGTTGGTGGCCTCTGTGACATCAAACATTCTCAAGATGCCATTGAAGTGTTTCACTATATGTCAATGAAGAGATGCTCTCTTCATTTCTTCTCCTTCTACAAGTTGATAAAATGTGTGTGTGACAAAGGAGAGGTCAACATATCCATAAAACTATGGCAATTAGCTTATTTTTGTGGCATTTCTTGTTGTATTGCCACACACACTACTATCATGTCTGAGTTATCGAAATCAAGTAGGGAAAAAGACCTGTTAGCATTCCTCTCACAAACGTTGATGGTGGGCAGCGATCTTGATGTGGAAGCATATTGTATCCTTATTGATAGCATGAGTAAACAAAATAAAGTAAAGGAATGTGTTTTCTTTTTCAATATGATGGTCAATGAAGGCCTGATACCTGATCCAGACAGACTATTTGATCAACTGTCATTCATAGCGAATCATTGTCAGTTATCTATGATTTCTAGTGCAATTGATAGAATTTCTGATGGTAACATTTTGAATTCATCAATGTATAGCTTACTGATAACTGGCCTGTTGAAAGAGGGTAAGGAGCATGAGGCACGTATATTACTGGATTCAATGTTAGAAAAAGGTTGGCTTCCTGACGCAACCGCTCATAATTTATTGATTGGATCTGATGTCAGAGAAGGAAGGAGTCAAGCAATGTTGTTTGATAACTCTGCCTCGCAAGATTCTGTTAGCAATATACTTGCCGAAGGCCTTGGAGATACATGAAACTTCTGCATTCCATAAAAAGAATGTGAACTGCTTAACATGCCAGTTTCATCGAGTGCTGCTCCCTCCATCAAGGCTTGTTTATTTAGCACCCTGTCTTGCAGCAAAAAAACAATTGTCTCTTAGAAAATTCTTTCGAGAGATTCATGTGGACAAGAGTCAATTTGGTCAGTCTTTTTGTCACACTCGGTAAGATGTGGGATGACTTGTTATTTGGATATAACTCCAATTAAAAACATCGATTTACTTTTTTTTTTTTTCTTACAACGTATACATGGCATGCTTTGTTTGTGCAGTTATTTTATTCTTTTATTCTTGATGCAATCAAATGGTCTAAGTACAAATTTTATGCATATTACCAGCTAGTGTAGATCAGTGCAGCAACTCGAGAGGGTTTTAGATTCCTTTCATTTTCAGTTAACTCTGACATGCATGCACACGCGCACTCAGCATATTGAAAGCATGATATTTTATTCTTGTTCCACTGATTTGCAGGAACTAACCTGTCTGATTTATTTATTTATTTGTTGCAGATGAATTTTCATTACTCTATCCATGGTAATTTGGCAATGCTGCCACCTGCTATTTAAAAGAGATATACTTTTCGTGGTCACTTCCACTATGGTTTACTGTCGTCCTACTTACTGAGGGTTCTGCCAATCTGCCCCATGCCATATGTGATTCTCAGCGGTTATTAGCTGAATGGGACGGGAAAATTGCTTTCAGATTGCTGGAAAGTACTGTTCATTGCTGATTTAATCTAGCATGTTAGCAAGAGAAGCTGTCAATATTATTTGAACACAACTATCGAGCGGAGGCAAAAATAAAAAATAAAAAACCTAAATGAGATTTATTTATTTATAGTATATATAAACAATATGTATTTTTTACGAGAGACAATTCTCTTTAAGTCGGATAGAATCATTATAATACTTGAAGAAAGATGATCTTTACTTATAAGTTTCCATTATAGAAATTGATACCTTGAGAAAACTTGATAGAAGTTTATAAACAATTTTTTCTCTCAACTTATCAAAGTGTTCTTTCAAGGATTAAACATAACAATCCAACTTATAGTAGCAGATACTAAAGATTGTTGTTTTATTTACTATAAAGTTTTATTTACCATAGAGACCGAGTATGTAGCAGTAACAAAAGCCATTAAAAGATGATATGGTTCCAAGGATTATTAATAAAGTTGGGATGCATATAGGAGAAAAGTGTTTTGTACAGTAATAGTGTGTGATGCATTTGATAAAGAATTTAGTATTTCATTTTAGAGTTAAACACATTGATTTTCGTTATAACTTCATCATATCTTTGAGGATTAGGTGCTAACATTAAAAAAGATTTTGGGAAGTAAGAATTCAACAAACATGTTCACAAGGGTAGTAATTATTAACAAATTGAAGTTGTGTTCAACTTTAATTGGCATCTTAAAACAACAAATAAAATAAGATCATTGTATTGATGAGAGTGTGAAGACAAATTGAAATTAGTCTTTAAGTGAAAAATTGTCAGACTTTTTTTATACAAAGCAAAAATTTATAGAAACACATTTCTTTGTTGAGGAAAAATAGGAAAATCAATAAAATTAAAGAAATGCATGAAAATAAAAAAAAGAGGAATAAAAACTTTGTATGCATATATATAAATAACATGCTATAACTATGAAAAGTAATTTCAACTATGAGGGAGGGAGGGAGGGAGGG